CTCCCTCCCTCCCTCCTAGTCTTAGGTTCCTTATTTACTTAAAATGTCTGAAGAGTCCATTGTCTGATTCATTTGGGAAATACTCTAACTCTATTTTAGCAATTTCATCAGCAGAACAACTCCTCTAGAAAGAGAGAGAGAGGGGGGGGGGGGAGCCCAAAAAGGACACAATCAGCACACAGGTTACATCATTACATGTACATGTATACGTTACTTTGTCTTTCATTTTATCAAATATTTCTCTCAATGTTGTCTCACTAGTATCATCAATATAACTATCACCATACTGTAAACAACACAACAATAAACAACAACAATAAACATAAACAAACAAACACTGGTTGTTATACCTTATCATATACTTCAGAGAACTTGCTAGCAGTCTCAGAGGATGTGCTATACATCAGTGAGGGCTTCAATGGCAGACACCTCCCGGTCTCCTGTAGAGAGAGAGGATATGTACAACATTAAGGAGAAATGTATATAACTAGTTTAAATGTTGAATGCTGTTATGACGGTATTTTCATTTTCTAACACAATTTACACAAAGGACTTCCTGCTGTCATACTGTCATACAACAGCTAACCAATTGTGTTTATTAGCAGCTGCTTAAACAGCGTCAATAGTAATGCATACAGACACATGTATGTACTACACACTATGTACATGTAATGCATACACATACATGTACATGTAACTGCATGTAAACCTAATCATCTCTTATTACTCACCAGACAGTCCAGGAGCCATTGGATCATGACCACATTATAAATACCTTTACTGAATAGAGAGAGAGGGGGAAGGGGTCAGACATATAGTGACAAACAAGAAGAAAAAACAATATTATGGTGACACATAAAGCTGCTACACTTAAATGAAGTGATAACAGTGTGACACAACACATACATAAACAAACAAACCAATAAATAAATACCTGATTATATTATTAGCTTTAACGACCAGTTTATGAACCAGCACACAGTAAGTATCTGTAGTTGGATTCTGTACAAAAGTACCTCCATGCTATAGAGAGGGGCGGGACAAGGGGAGTGGCTAATAGAGAGATCAACTAATTAATATAACGCTTACCTCAGCAATCTTAGTCTCAATATATTGTTTATTGAAAGAGCGGAGTTCCGTTAATGACACAAAACTGCTTACCAGCAAACATAGAAGATACCTTGAATGACACACAAATCAAAGTGACATGGTAAAGATAAAGAACCACCTCCTCCACACTGGATACATCAGTGTGTCTGAACTGGGAGGCCACACCAGCTGGTCTATCAATCCTAGTCACTCTCCTCCTCTTTTTGGACGTGGTGAGTTCCCCTTCCTCCCCCTCCCCCTCCTCATAATGACGGTGAGCTAAATGACCTGAGGCTACCTATCAATAGAATGTGTTACTAATTATAGACTCAGTTCTAAAAATAGCCTAACTCTTTTAAGATCCTCCAGTTCATCCAGTGACATACAATCAAACCATTCTTTGTCCTCTCTCACTCTCTCTAATCTTGGAAACCTTAAGGTACAACCTGTCCTGTATCTAGAGGAGAGAAAGGGGGAGAGAGAGGGGGAAGCTCTTAGACACACAGCAGAAGCTGCATACAATATACACACATATAATAGTCAC